CAGTCAGATGCTGAAGCAGAACCCACTGTCCACTTGGAGTTGAGTCGTGGAAGGAATAATAAATGATGTTTGTCTGCAACGTGGGGGTAGAAGTGTTCAGCCAAACATTTATTTAGCCTGAGGAAAAGCCAGATAAACCCAGAATGCCTTTCTTTCCAATGCTAATATTAAAGCTGAACTTAAATCAGCCTAGATAACTTCTCAAGATACGGCCAGATTACTTGAAAAGCTTGAGCATAAAGCAACTTGGCAGGAAAGTATCTGGCAACTAAATGGAATGACTGGGCACTTAGGGGCTTGCTGGCCTGACATGATTCACAGGTGAAATAGTGTGGTTGCTAGAATGGATGTCTGTGGGATGCACTTATTGAAGAATTGGAGGAGGGTAAGGTGTAAGGCTCTGTGAGGAACAGAAATCTTGTCGTATTTGGCAGCTTCTGAATTCTTGCATATTTTTATCAAACAGACATTTAAATATTTCATGACTTAAAAGTATTTACTTGGGTTTTTTGTTGTTTATGAGGGTTTTTTTGCATTGAGCAGAATGGATCACTGACAGGTCCTAATGTGACAATAACAACTGTGACCAGAATCATTAAAGCTACTTAAATTCTGTAAGGATTGGTTCTTAGCTATTTTCCCTTATGAAGTTAGTGGTAAACAATGAAGAGACATTGTATGCAATGATGGCTCAAGGTGTCTCCTCATCCTTCCTTTCAGCATCAAGAAGGTGGAATTCATTTAAACACTAGAATCTTGGAGTTAGACTATTTCCTACATCACTAGAAAATAATCCCTGTGAGCAAAACTGTGAATGCAGTTCTTTGTGATTTGAGAGAACTTTGGTCAGAATGTATTCTCCCATGTAAAATATCATGATAATGTCAGAGGCAGATCTTGAAGACAGAAGATGACTAAATAAATGATTGGAAGCTAATGCAATAAACTTTAAAGACCAGGATGAAAGAATGGGTAGTTTGCTTCAGCTCAACCCTCTCCTTTTCCCCTGAGATAGTCAACAGTGTTTGAACAGAACTGTCTCAATCCTTTGTGGTTTGCTCATTCCAGTTTTTCTTGGGCTCAGCTTATTTTCCCTGCAGTGCCTTGGGGTTTTATAGCTGGTGCACACCTACCCTGTTGAGATTATTTCTTACACCAGTAAATGCCTTAAGGATTGCCTAATGGCTTCAGAGGAAGAAAACCCTCTAAAAGATTTGAAATTGTCTTCTGTTGGACCCATTTAACTTTATCTACTTGCCAAGCTTTATTACTGCTCAAGAAAATACGTGTGTGATTTTTACCTGAGACTTGCTGTGTACTCCCTGGCTCAGGGTCACATGCTTTGGCACTGGTTCAGGGAATCTGGTTGCTTGTCAAACAGTGCATTCCTATTCCTTGTTAGCAAGAGAGATCTGGAAACACGCATTAAAAATAGTTCGGTCTTAAAGATTTGGGCAGGATCACTGTTAACCTCCCCCTTTTTTTTTGGTATAGATGGGTGTGCTGCCTATCTGCTGACCTGCAGGTGATGGTATCCCAAGTGCAGCAGCGCTGCTTGTCAACCCCCAAGTCCTGAACTTACCCAGGGAAGTGTGATAGAAGTCATTTGCCTGAGGCATCTTGTTGTATAATTGTCTGGCATGAGCTTTTTGCATCTTTCGTGGTGTTCACTGGGGAAAAGAAAACCACTGAATTTTGTGGGCCACAAATGTGACCTCTATAACACTTCCTCTCTGGAAAACCCTAAAGAAAGGCAGTAATTTTCCTCTGGTTCTTTGATGGTTGACACATTTCTTTCTGTGAGCACACCCTGTTTGAGGAACAGAATTATTGTGGTACAGATTTGTCGAGCCTGTAACGTGTTTTGTGCTCCACTTAGTTGTGACTTAAGCCTCAGTGGAAGATAGATAGTAAAAGTGGAACAGGTAAGATTGGAAGCAATTTGAGCAGCTTTATAAAATTTTGCTTACAGATTAGTTTTCAGGATATATAACTTGCTTGTTTTGTTGAAATATTAACTATTGTTTTATAGGTTTTGTCATTGCCTCAATGTGGCCAAAGGTCAAAGCAAAACACATGCAATTAAGTTGAAGAAGAGCCAGTGTGATCAGTCCCCTCCTTTCATAAACACTTGGCAAGATCAGGAATATTTCTGTATCTGAACTTCACACCAACCTCTGTACAATGCCCAACGTGAACCTCTTCCCATGGCTGAAATTCTTCATTCTGCTGCCTTATTTGTTGTTGATCATGAAAATGCCCGTCAAAACCAGCCGTGAAAAAAACAGTTTGTGCTGGATGCAGATATAGGAGAATCCCTCTTCGGTATTTTAATCCAGCTCCTCTTCTGATGCCATTTCCTTTGGAGTTCTTTGCTGCATAAAAGCCTCTGTAATATTTACTTCCATCAGGTAAATGACTTTGTCCTGAGTAGGAAAGAATGCCACTATTCAAACTTGCCAAATTCAAAATGAACTTGGAAAAAGCAGTGGCAGAATCTGGATCAGTCTAAAATGAATATGAACACAACTGAGCAGGGCTTAGGGAAGAACTGAAGACCTTTCTGAGAGGCTCTTGTTATTCTCTCTGGCTCTTGTATTAGACGTGAACTTGGAGTCAGATGAAAGTGCTGCAGGAAGTCTAGCGCTGTGCTTACCACAAAATTGACATAATGGAACAGTAATTCTCTGTTCTTTTAGATAAAACCTGCCCATTGTGCCTCTCGCTGCCGCACTTGAACACCGTAACTGCTTTTTCTGGCTTGTTTAAAATATGCTGTTCTTATCTGTGTCAATTACGGCTTCAAAGTCCACCTCCGTCCACCGTCCATTATTGCTGGCTCCCAAATTATCTGATCGCTCCCCATCATCTTCCACTTCAGAAATAACTTTTTCAGTCATCCCTTAAGAGCCTCGCTCAAATGGGCTAAATCTCAGGTATCTTTTGTCCTGCCTCTTTATCCTTTCCAGGGACAAATGCTCCCAGCCTGGTGTCATCCTTCCTGGGAGTGCAGGCTGCCCCAGAGCATCGCAGAACATTCCAGTGTGTTGGATCCTCTGTGCCTTGTCCTGCTACCCTGTCACTGCACATGGAATGAGGTGTTCACGGAAAGGGAATGAAATCCTTTGTAGGCAGTGACAGGAGGGGAAATCAGATGTGAGAGAACGCTGGAGACTTTAAAGCCATCTCGTACAGGAGTGTAATCCATGACCCTTAGTGTGTAATACAACACACGTGTTCTGAGTGATTTTGGAACAGTAAGAGCTAACGTGTACCTTCAAATTCTACTGAATGTCATTTTGCCTGGGTCTGCCAGCAATTAAACATTTTGTGACTAGTCTATAATTAAAATAATTGCTTCTACTCCGGAACATGTATTTTGTAGGCTTTGCTCACTCACAAGTTGTGTTATGTGAAGTGGGTGTGCTTTTTAATACACAGAGTACTTCATATTTATGATAAACCAGTTGCATCTTCTGTTAGTTCTGAGTGGGTGGAGAAATGCTTTCTTGAGTCCTTTTTGTTCCGAGTTATTTAAATGCTTACAGATTAAAACCTCGAACTCAATACTTGGTTTATAGGACTTGCTCAGTAAGTTATTTTAACTCTCTCATGTGATTTAAAGGTTTGTCTAGCTCAAATGAAAACTTCAGTATTAGTTTGTTGTTGAGGTGATCAAATATAGGAATTCTGGTAACCTTGGGGAACCTGGAAGATGAAAAAACCCACCCCAAAAATGACGATTTTGAAAGGAAGAACAAAATAAATGCAATAAACAGCTCGAAGGAGGGTGCCAGCAGGAGGGAGCGCTCAAGATGATGTTCCTGTGATGCACTTCCAGTACAGCAGTGTCTCAGGTCACACTGAAACAGAGCTGCTGTTGTGACGTGCTTTAAACACCAAGCATGTCAGCTGTGTCCTAAGGCTCATTTTTAGGCTCACCACTTAATGATCTGGTGTGTGCTCAAGCCCACAAAGAGTTTTTGTTGCCACAACTGGAGGGACAGGGAATTGCAGTGTGGGGATTTCTTAGGCCAGCTCTGTTCCCACAGCCCCACATCTCGTGGAGCCATTTCCCTGAGGGGTTTTGTCCTAGGATACAAGTTCAGTCACACTGTGTGCATAGATGTAAATATGCTTCCCTCTAGTACAAACATCATGTAATCTGACTTCTGATAAGATGCTTTGTTTTTTCTCCTAAGTGCTTGAACTCTTTTTGATTGACGTGACACAGTATATAAATCTGCCAAGGTTTTGTCTGCGGCACAAAGGAGTGGAAAATACAGGAGAAGCTTGTCTTAACCTGGTTAGAATATATTTGAATAATTCTAATATATGGTGGGAGATACTGCACCCTTCTGCTTTCACAAATTCCAGCAGCCTCACAGGGTGTGGGAGTAAGATGCTCTGGTCTTGCGTGCAGAAAGATGAATTCATATGCTGCATATATCTTCATTGGAAGTTGAAATATTTAAATATCAGTCCTTAGTTATATTCATCATGGCTTGTTTTGCTCATGCTTGCTTGAGGAATATCTTCAGTGTAAGGTGGCGTGATGGTTACTGCAAAGTAATTGGCAACTTGCAAAAGCCTAAATGGGGATGTCTGTGTGACCATGGCAATTGATGAATCATCTTCCTGGCATAGTGCTGGAATATCCTATGCTGTTTCTGAAATGGAAGCTGCTTTAAATTTCCCAGAACTTGTCTTGTGCTCCGTGTTCTGAGGATCTCAGACAAAATACCCTGATATTCTCCTGTGGCTTTTGTGTGGGACCACAAACCGGAGGAACTTGAGTACAGTAAAGCATCATTTAAATATGAGGCGTAACTGCATTTCAATGGAAAGTGCAGAGGTAGGAGGGAACGTGGGATAAAAGACCCTGTGCTAGGCAAGGACAATGGAAAGCAGGAAATGGGGTATATGGTTAAGGGGGGGGGGACATGACAATATCCTGAAAAACGCTATTGAAATTTTTAAATACTTGCTTTTTGTTGCAGATTAATCAGCCACTCGATGGGGATTAACAGTGGAGCACCTCTTTGTGTCGCCTTTCCACCTCTCTGTAGCACGAATAACAACTTCAGCACTTCTTCAATAATAATTATGAAACTGGTATTAACTGAATGGCAATTATGGATTTTTAACTCTAACTCACAGTAAACCAGCAAGCCATATGTTGAAATTCCTACCAAATAGCTTTTCATTCTTGATGTCTCGTATCTGTACAAGAAGTTGCAAGATACCTGTTTGTACAAGAGGAATATAAGCATTACTTGCCTGAGGAACAGAAGCTGAAAAGAGAAGACACCCTAACTTGTTCGTGGAGTTATGGTAGTATTATTTATATAGATATAACAAATATATATATATATATTTTTATGGTAATGAAAATGGCTCCTCAGAATGCTGACTCGGAATCTATGCAAGTTCAAGACCTACCTGTGGCTCAGCTTCAGAAACCAGAGAGCAAGGAGAATGAAAGCAGGGAGGAGACCATCAGCGAAGGCTCCATCGACCGGATACCGATCCGCCTGTGGGTGATGCACGGGGCAGTAATGTTTGGCAGGGAGTTTTGTTATGCCATGGAGACAGCTTTGGTAACACCTGTGTTGTTACAAATTGGTAAGTAAGCCTCGTTTCTGTCACTCGAAGCTTTCTATGTATTTTTGCACTGGTTGAAGCTGGAAGAAGAGGGGAGTGGTGTCTGCCAGCTCCAAGTACACCAGGTAAAAAGGTTTTGATTTTTATCATTATTGTCTCTGCCACAGTTTCAGCTGTGTGAACATGTTTAGGTGGGAAGGATTTCTGTAGGCATTCATCTTCTGTCTAATGTTGCTTCCCTCTGTAGAAAATGTAACCTGATTTCAATCTGTAATTCTTTGCCACAAGGTAAGTGTCCTAGAAACTAGGAGCAATATTGGGCTATAAAGGATTGCAGTGAAGCTTTTTTTTAATTTATGGAGAAATACTTTAGGTGACAGTACCTTAGAATAAACAGTTGGATAAATTTGGTTTTCCAGGTGCTAGTCAAATATTGCATTTATTTCAAACCACTAGTGAGTCTTGTTTTATGTGATTCATCTGTCTAGTTTATAACAACGTGACTACATATGAATAAACCATGACAATAGCCTTAGATGATAATGGGGGAGTGATGAGTTTTAGAATAGGGGTAGCCAGTTTAAACTTTGTGGTGAGTCCTGTCATTAGCTTTCCAATAAACTGTTGATGGTGTTAACGGTACCTGGTATTACCTTTATCAAATCCAGAAACTCATGTTCTCAATCAGACATCATAAAGTATTACATGGCACTGAATGGAAATACCAGGCTGAGTGTGGTTCCATGAGGGAATAAATCAACTGTGTGTGTGTACTGTGTAATTGTATATATAATATTTGTATATTATATGTTTGCTTTGGCTTATCTGTGCAGTTGTGCCTTACAGCTTGCTTAGCTGTGGCCAAACAGAAGCACTCAACCAACTGGAAAATAACGTTCAGTGAATCCTATTTACAACATCATTAAAAAATTTCGAGGTTGGCACTTTGAATGAAACACCTGTATTTTTATATTTGATATGAGAAAAGGGCATTATAGTTTCAGCTTGTGAACAAATCCTTTCATACAGTCTTCCTGCAGTTAAAAATGTATTTTCATATGAAATTGATACTTGGGTTATTTTGAATCAACGAAGGAGTGAATAATGAGTGCAGTTAGTGCCATGGGAGGTGCTGATGAGTTATGCCTCCATGTTTTCCTGGAAATTTTCCTTTTCAGAGCTCATCGTGGATCTACTGGTGGCATAGTTAAAATAGACTATAAAAAGCTCCAAATAACCTTTCTGATCAACCTGTTTTGCTAAATAAAACACAAGCAACTTCATCTAGGAATTGTTTATAATGTCCATAACTTGTTTTTAGGTTTTGTGTTTTGGGTAAGTTGAGATTTAGAGACTTAAATCACTTGTACTGGCAGTGTTGGTTCTGCCACTGTCTACCTTAAACTCAAACTTGCAGCTTGCTCTGCATGGAGATGATCCCGAGTTTTTTAAATGTCCTGTCCTTTTTTTGTTGGCTTTGTTTGTGCTGGATGATTAAATGCATGGCTGGCTAAGCTGACTTTACCTTACCATAGGGTAAGGTCAGACAGTATAAATAAACCATCCTCCTGAATACTGAGCACTCTACCAGTTTACATTTCTTTTGTGAGCTTTTCTAGCTGTTTCCTCCAGATAATTGAGAAATATCTCTTCCCTTCCTTCCCTAACCCCAGTGATCAAAATAACGTTGGGATCTGGGGGAAGGGAAGGGGAGAGATCTCACTTCCGAAAAAGCTGGAAATCGGCAGAGTGATGCCAAAGGCTGTGGGGATGCAGATGATGTTCCCTGCCACAGAGATAAGAAATGGAGGAGGCAGTTCCAAATGTTAGTGCTTTGGGAACTAATTGAAATCTCTCGTGCTCGGCTCATGTTCCCTCAGCAGGGGAATAACCAGTATTGGATTCACTGAAGGGTTAAAGTTATTCACGGGTGACTTATCTGGCCTGTTCGGTAATTACCTCTTACATGGGTCTGTTTACCTTTATCAACCTCAACATCTGTCTGCCTCAGCACAAGCTATATTTATTCCTCACTGGAGGGGGTTGCAATGTAACCATCAAACTGCCGTAATATTCCCTTTGCATCTTGTTCTGGTAAAAGCAACGTTCAGTTTCTGTGAGATTAAATTGGCTCAAGCAACTCTGTTTGACAAGTGACACCTGGGGAAGTGTGGTGACTCAACCAACATTATTTATAATAAATTGAAGAACAAGAAGCCTTTTGGGTATCCAAAAAAAAAAAAAAAAAAAGACTCCTCGCAGAGTGTGCTGAATAATAACAATTAAACTTTACAGCTTGTTCTGTACCTCAGAGAAAACTTTAGTCACTGGAATCATCTGAGATTCTTATCAGATGCCACCGTGAAAACCTCGGGCACCTTAGTCTGGTGTTACACACTCTCTGCTTGCAGCTATTTGACTTCCCCTGCAGTTTGTGGAACCTGGATCAGAGGGGTAGTTATGACTTGGCAGATGAACAAGGAAATTTCATCAGCTGAAGGAGGTATGGTCCTTTGGATGGTCCCTTTCCAGTTCAGTGGTGGTTGAATTCTCACTGTGTTTAAATTTCCTGAAGTTCCCAAATCTTAACAAAAGAACTAAAGGCACCACTGAAAAGCTGCTTGAATCAATGGATACTGTAAACTGGAAAGGTCCTGAAGTGCCTGAGTTGCTGTACCCCTACCAAAAGAAGTTCTGATTTCTGACTTTAGTCCTTGTCTTTATTGCAGTGTTTAGGTCAGAAATGCAGCTACAAACCCTGTAACAGCCTTGTAGTCATAACTGGGCTTTAGTAGCTTAGCAACAAGATCAAGCCAAATATACATTTCACGTTGTTTTTAATTTTAACTTGCTCATTGGTTTCTTAGTGCCTGCATCTTAAGAATTCAAAATGAAGCAGCAAACTTGTTGGGAAGAATTCAGAGGATGTAAAAATATGGCAAATATGGGAAGTGGCAGCCTGAGCCCAGACGAAATTATGTTAGTTGACGCTTCCAGAAGTTATAATCTCTCAAAATCTTCATTAACCTTTCTGAGACCTGTTCAGTGAGTTTGTCCCAGCCAGCATTAAAACTTTAGCAGGAAATAAACCTTCAGCACTCGAGGTTTATTTGTTCACCAGCCCAAGGGTTTTGAGGAACTGATTCCATGTTACCCGTGGATATACTCTGTGCATTAACCCTGCTGTTTGCTCCCCTGCACATGAGCTACAACAAATTCCATAGGAGCAGGATGAGGCCTTTGTCTTCTGAAACATCTGGTACTTAGTGCTGCTTATCTGTGAGAGGGAATTAAAATCCCTGCTATTGTTTATAAATGACAGCGTATTTTCTTCCATCACTGAACTTGGCTTCTAAGGATTAAATGTCTAAAACTACTTCCAGTTCATAAGTTCATGGAAGATTTGGATAAACGATAAAATTATTTTGCAAGGGATTTTGCTCGAATAAAAACAGGAGGGGAAACTGATGACTGGTGTAGTGTAAACTTGGAGAAACTGTTACCTTTTTGAAGATACTTGTTCAGTGAAATCACAGTACGTGGTTTCTGTTCATAACACTTTCAGCCATTAATAAATAATTTGGTAATTTCATATTACTTCCATTGTAATTCAAACCAAATGTGGATTGTAATGCAAGCAGTGAATCCCTCTTAGTTCTTCTGAGAGGTGGGATTCGTGTGCCTGTTTCATTAGGGCTGTGGAAGAAAAAAATCTGTATGTTGTGACTCGGGGTGGCTGCTGCTTTCAGCTTGAAAACCTCACTGTCTGACTAATGAGTAGTGGTGGCTGTAAACATGAAGTTTCACATTTTGTATTTAATATGATAAAAGCTTTGTCAAGCCTTTACTGTTGCTTCAAAGGCTCTTTCAGTGCTATTGAGTGTTTTATGAATAGTTAATAGGCACAGAAGTGACTGTCAGCACCAGAGCTGTTCCTCATTCCCCTGCATAAATTAAATGTATTACAACAGTGCTTTTAAAAAGAAACCATGTACATTTACATTGTTTCACGAGGAAACATAAGGTAAATCTGTTTACATGTGCTGCTTACCTTTATAGTGTCACTTATATTTAGGGATGTTTCCCCGGTGCAGGAATAGCTGAGGGTTTTCTGCATTTCATATCTGGGTGCCTACATGTGATGGCATTACTTTGTTTTGCTGTGAGAGTTAATGGATTCTTGTAGAGAACATAGGCCAGTCTAGCATTAAATATTGAAGTTGGTCATTTTAGGCTTAACCCTGAGCATGGTGGTGTTTTTAGGCAGTAACACTAAGGAATAGCATTTCTGCAAACTGTGTATTTCAGTGCTAATTAATAGATTTTACTAAGGAGAAAGGCTGAGCTAAGCAGAGCAAAATAACATAGATTATTTTTGTTTGGAAAAGAAATTATTTCTCCCAATTAGATCCTTTAAAATCGGCAAGATGCTGCAGTTGCTCCTGTCTCATATATGTAGGAAAGCTGTTCAGGGATTTGGGCTGTTATTTTACAGCTAAAGCATTTAGATATAATATCTCAGAAAAAAAAAATAATTATCTAACATTCAGAGTTCACCCAGCCTGAAGCTTAGCAAACCGTGCTTAAAGGGTCTTGAAAATCTAGTTCATGTGAAATTGCCAGTATGGAAAAAGTGTGTTAAGCAATAATTCAAAGTGCTGATTCTGAGAAATCTCTGTGGTAGCTGAGAACTCATTATGCTGAAGAGGTTCAATATTACCGAGTGAACTCTTTTAGTGTGAAGTGGTGACTGCCCCCATTGAAATTTAGTGTTGATACCTGCCTGAGAAGAAGGGGTGTGGGTAGAGGGGAGATTATGGAGATGTATTTAGAAACCAAGCATGAAACGGTACGGATAAATCAGCTCCTGGGTCTGTTTCTTCAAAGGAATTAAGGTGTCAACTGCTGACTCAATTCAGTGTGGAAGGGGGATAGTCTTCCTAAGGCTAAGCCTGAGATCAAAGGAAATCTGAAATCCTTAACGATCTGGTGGGGCAGACGGGAACAAAGGCATCGGATGG